TAGCTCTTTCCAGCTTTACTTGCTGGCATCTATAAAACTTTCCACTGAGACCCTCTCACTCAGAAGAATTAAACACACAAGCATCCTCACAAATTCAAAACGCTTTTTTACTAATGAGCGGCGCTCCACGATCTCCTGCTTTGCCTGTTGTTCTTTCTGACTTCTTTCATCTTCCTTTCTACTCCCACCCCTGCCTCTGTCTCCTCTCAGTTACGTAACGTAATAGATAATCCTGCAGATGATGCCAGTTGCACGCTCTGTAGTTCTAGTGAAGGTGAGAGCCAAGTACCTCAGCAGAGAGACTCTACTTCCAGTGCTAATGAGGCCTGGGGAGACCCCAACGCTGCTGACAGATATTTCATCAATGATGGAGCATCATCACCACCTCATCACCGTCACTCACCTTCATCTCCACAATTCACTGTTTTTAACAGCAGACACTCGGTGTGCACTAAAGTTATTCCACATGCTTGATCTACCTACTGCCGGCTTAAAGAGTTGCCGAAAGATTGGAAAACATATAGTAAGAAATTCTGCCTACCAGCACCTCTAAAGCCTTTTTAATTCAAATGTCATATGGTGTTTGTTGACCAAAGTGTGACAAATAACAAGTTCTACAGTGAGTAATGTGCTGAACTTTACTGGCTGAGTGAGTGACTTTCTGCTATAATTCTTCAGATGTTACGCCATTCCAAAATGTTAAAGTATTTCTTTAAGTTGACAGTTTAATGTAGATAAAGCATGGTAACTAGTTTAAAAGCTTGACATGGCTTGCAGCACACCAGTGCTCGATATCATCCTCTAAGTACTCAAAGTGCCTTAGGTTTTAAACTTCACATCACTCTGGCAGTGAAAAGTGCCTCTCTAGCTGATATGTATTGATTCGATCTAATCTCGGCACGAGGAAGCGAAGATACAGAGATCCATAAAGCAGACGGATTCCCACTGAACACTTTTTCACAAAGTGTAGAGGGAGACAAGACTGATGCATCAAAGGAGGAACATCTTGCAGCAGCTTCAGAGCTTTCCTTCATTTAGGGATGACAGTTTCACTTTATTTGGACAATTATGTGTTTCTATAGTGGAGTTACGGTGCGATAAATTGCTATATTGATTTGTCTCAGAGAAACAAAAGGCTGTAATCCTGTAAGGTCCACACTGATAAGAAGGAAGCAGAAATCGTCACTTGGTTCACATCACACTCTTACAGTTGTTGAAAAATAATAGTGTTCTAAAAGAGGGTTCTCAAATTATTCAAGATACGTTTTTTAACATGAAAAAAACAGTTTAACAAAAATAAAGACAAACTTTCTCAGCAACATGAGTAGGTTTATCATGCAAGTCTCTATTTAGCATAGCACAGGCTGCCAAAACAATGATCAATGCATCATAGATTTTTTGCCGAGCTGTTATACAACAACCTCAATTTGCATCCTCCTAACAAACAAAAGTTTCTCTGAAAAAACATATTTCTGCTTTAGTGCATTATTCATCCAAGCTGTCAATAACTCCAGCTGCACTACATGCAAAGAATAAATCATGTATGGATGAGACCTTCAGGTTCAAATGACTGACCCTCTGTAACTCACTGCCGTGGGTGCAGCCCACTGTTATTACAGCTAATTCCGATGCAAAGCTACACAGTTCTGGACCAATTGCTCCCTAATCAAAACAGTGGCAGATGGATGGAAGTGTATTTTAGGACTGTTAAGTCTTTTTTGGGCGATCAGTATATGAGGCGTGAGGAAGTATTATAGCACTCTATATTCACAACGACAAAATGGCGACTAAGCGAGGACAGATGTGTGAATTAGAAATGAGGGCCATGTGGAGCCTTCCATTTTTAGACCCTATATTTATGGGCTGTTAAAAGAGTAATGACCATCAAAGACCTGTAAAAGAGAGGAATTGCCATCAGAGCCCATATCTAAAAGGTGATTTATTACTCTCTAATGGGAGGGAAATGGTGCTCGGCACATCAAAGGACAAAGCAACACAGTGTAAAGAAACTGAATATAAATGTATTCGGCCACGTCTTCTTTTTGTCATGCATCTTCACTTAACTGATTGTTTCTTAATTTCAGGTACATTTGAAAGGGTTGTTGTATTAGTTTATGGTTGGCAACTTTTTCAATTTTAAGTGTGGCAGTGTGGTCTTGCTGAGGTTTCAAATTTATCAACCAAACCTTTCACCAGCTGGTAAAATCCAACAATCTCAGCGGATTAAAGGAACCTACAGTAGTGCGGTTTCTTGTGGGTTTGGCAAAGCCGAACGCAGTCTGAGTTGGCTTTGCTTTTTGATTCATTTCAAACCAAAAAAAAGGAAAAACTATGAGTACATAGCTCACCAGTGCTTCGTGAGAAAGAGATATTTGGGCTTGGCTTCCTGTGCCTACTGAACTGATTAACAGTCCTACAGAACCACTGGCTCAGTTCAGCAGGAACAGGAGTCCAGTCCACTAACCACCCAACAAGACGCAAAGAAAAGCACGAGTCTCATCCTTTATTGGACAAATGAAGGATTCTGGATTTTGTTTCAAAAGATACTTTTTTGTCGTTGAATGATTACATCTACGTTGTTGTCACAATGTTCATTTGATTGTTTTTTGTTATGTATTTTACTGTATAAAGAGATCATTTATCAATTTCATGCATTTAAATTAAGACTTTCATGGAACTATGTACTGTAATTATCTTAGGACACTATGTATGCCATAAACACATCTAACACGTTTGGTTTGGACCTTCTTTGTAGAGCCAGGCTGATAAATCATTGTTTGTGGTATTAACCCTTCACCATACTGTAGTGGATCTATTGCTGATACAATGTGTCCATTCAGTGATTAGTTCATCGACAGACAATTCATTGTAAATACATTTGATAATCAATAAGAATAAGTGCTGATTTAATTATAAGAATATCTTTGGAAAAGCAGCTTTTAGTTATTATGCCCCAACAATTTGGAACAAACTGCCTAAATCGTGCACGTCCGCCGAAACACTTCCTATTTTTAAATCCCGACTAAAAACGCACCTATTTGCCGCTGCTTTTAATACTCACACTACAGTATGCCTTTTTAGTCATGTATTCTGTACCTGCTGTTTATTTATTTATTTAATTTCATTACCTTTGCTTCTTATGCCTGTTTTTAAATGCCTTTTTAATAATGTATTTATGCTGTATTTGTTCTTAAATGTCTTTTGCTTTTAGTCTGTAAAGCACTTTGAATCTCCACGTGCTGAAAAGTGCCAATAAATAAAATTGCCTTGCCTTGCCTTGCCTGCCTTTGTGTTCGGTTGGACTTGAAAAAATGGGCAGTTTAAAGATTGGGATTTGGTTTCTGGAAAATAGGTCACATTTGTTAATATAAACCTAAGTCTAAACAATTCATCAACATATTTAACACATTTTTAGATTAGTTCTTTGCAGCCCTAATTGTGTTTTCATTAGTATTTACTGTTAAACTGCAGGTTATTTTCTAAATACTGTTCTGTAATTAATTAAAGAGATCCTTCAACAACTCTAATGGTCGATCTATTCACAACGGATTCTTAAACCGTCAAATATTTTGTTGTTTTTGGCCAAACAATATCTAATGTGGATTTCTTTGTCAAGACTGAACACACACAGTATTTTTAGCAGAGAGATACCAACTGTTCCGCCCCAGGATATCAAAGTATCCCAGATGTTCTGTAATGCTCTAATCTGAACATTTCTCTCTCTTCCAGGTTCCAACTACAGACGGAGCTGACGGGAGCTTGACTCCAGTCAGACTGCGAGGGTCCAGCGCTCACCTCCTCTTCCTCTGTCGGGGGGCAGACGCTGCAGAATCACTCGGCAGGGTGGAAACAGCCAAGGCAAACTGGCAATGTTCAGAGGCAGCTCTGTCCATGTCTAAATAAATAACTGTGTGAACAAAAAGCTATACAAACTGTTCCTATAAGGATGCAGGGTGGTTTACCACATTACGCTGTGGTACAAGAGTCAAATGACATCATGCCACCTGTCTTAATGATAGATAGTGGAAGAAAAGAGAGGCATTCTATGGATAAAAACACTGCACAGCCATCGTTGTTTAAAGAACCTGAGCTGCTGTGTTTAGGTTTCTCTGCGTGTGTAGGTGTGACTTCATGTGTGACTTCATGTGTGTTTAGTCTGAAGCCATGATCTGGTTCTTCAGAGTTTAGATAGAAAATACTTTCAGGTGAGTCATATTTATACATAACAAATTACATCTGGCCACTGTCCTGTAATGACACTGGAAAATACGTGTAAATGAGGGTTTTGTAACTGCTATGTTAACAAATAATCATCAGACTTGATATGTTGAAGCTAAAAACATTTTCATATTAAACACATTACTTTTTTAAAGCATTCATTGAAGGAGGAAAACCTGGAGTTAGTACAGCCTGCCTACTAAACTGATTTAATGCTAATAAGTAGAATTATTAGAGCCAGATACATTTTCAGATAACCTAAACATGATTATGTATAACCTATTTCTGGTGGTAGTTATTTTATACTGTCATAAATAAAGGTTGAGTGAAATCCAAGTCATTTTTTAACAAACCAGGTGAAAATATGTTATATTTCTGGATTAAAAAGTCACTGAACAAACTGTGTACTAAGGTGTAATGCTTCACTACAACTTCTCCAAGAGGTCAGACCGTAATTAGAACACCCTTCTATTGTATTCAAACAAGGGGATATCATATCAAGGGGATATCATTTTTTAAATGTTGCTTTTGAACCCACTTGCGTGTGTGTGTGCGCGCGCGCGCACACACACACACACACACACACACACACACACACACACACACACACACACACACACACACACACACAATGTTCAGTCGAAGCATAATGAAGGGTAAATGAAAATGGTACATTTAAATGCCTGCACTTCAAATGAATGAAACGATGAAAAAGTAATTCTCCATTTTTTTTAAATAATGAAGAAATAGGAAACAACAAAGAGAAAGAAGTGACATCCATTTATTTATATTTTTATCATATTTACAATACTCTTTGAATATCTTATCAACAGAAACATTTGAAAACAAATAGTATTTATACAAAGATAAGTGGCAATTATTTTTCCTTTTCTCCAAAAACAAATGTCTTTCAGTCAGCATGTATAATGTGAAGGATTCTTTTTGTAAGCTAATTTTATGAGTGGGAGGACTTCAACACAATGTACGAGCTGCTGCTTCTTTATAGTGTGATCTGTCACTGCTCAAGTGTCCTTGTGTGTGTGTGTGTGTGTGTGTGTGTGTGTGTGTGTGTGTGTGTGTGTGTGTGTGTGTGTGTGTGTGTGTGTGTGTGTGTGTGTGTGTGTGTGTGTGTGTGTGTGTGGTCTGCGCATATAATTGTAGCTTCTCCACATAATCTGTCCCTGCTGTGTTGTTTTGACACACTCCTGTCACCGCACCGCAGCACATGTAGACAAGAGCCTGGCTATTTGTCATTCTGCAAAGGTGCCCTGAGAAAACCTGCGTCGAGGATGAACTCACTGCTGCGTGGCTCTGTGATTAATGTTTGTGTGTGTGTGTGTTGGCAGGATTCAATGCTGCACACATATGTGTTAGTGTGTTTTGAAGTGCCTTGATCCTGAGATGAACTCTGTTGGTGTCGCTTGATAAGCAGCTATCTTCGTTGAGTCTGAGCTCCAGTGCGCTGAGAACACACACGGCTTCATTAACCAGACCAGACCGGTTCACCACCTGGACACACGCACAAAGATACAAGACACAAGATAAAAAAAAAGATATGATTGTTGTAGTACAGCTTTACCAGGAAATGGTCACTTGAAATGGTATTACTTTAAAAGATAAGAGGCTTGAAGCCATTAAATGAATACTGTGTGACACTGGGGAAAAGCTCCAGAAAAGCTATAAAGTGGACCTCGAGGTATCATTTTTTTTTTTATGACAACTGCTTTTATAAGGTCAAAAATGAACATCCAGTCCCAAGTAAAAAATATATTGTATCGGGGCAAAATGTACACCGAGTGCATGTGCATGACTAACCATGGCATGTGTGGAACAAGATGAGGTAATGTCTGAAAGAGATTTTTGGTGGACGAAAAACAAATCCTTTCCTCACCGTTTGTAGAATCTCTGTTGACCCACTCAGCGATTGTTGGAAGAAAACACAGAAGTTGACTAAGAGACTGAGGATCAAAAAGGGTGACGGTGTTGTTGGCTGAGGTTTTGGGGACAGCAGAGTGACCAATGACTGCACACGGTCAACAGGAAGAGGATGAGCTAAGAACAGAGAGCGTAGGTGGTCCCATGCTTCTTTGGCATGTACCTGGAAACACAAAGAACAGGATACAGTTATTCACAGCTGACATGTTTATCCACAGTCCACGCTGGAATCAAGATAATTGATTTAAGTTTATTTCCTACAAAACTAAAATCAATTGATTAGTTATTCATTGTTGATTGAACGATCGTAAAGGGAGAGACGGCGGGCACGACAGCGAGTCTCCCAGGTTACGAGAGCAGGCGGACACACAGGAGACAGAGAGATGAAACTCAGGCCAGCGGGCCAGACACTCACTGAGGAATCAATACTACATCGCCACTGTCTCCTTCTCCCCCTCTCAGACCATCAATAATGTATCATTTAATGTGTTATTCTTCTTTCTCTATATTTGTTCCATGGCTTTCAACTACAAGTAGCATGACAACAGACCATTCAAAGTGTCATGTTGTTGAGTTATGATATTACACGTGCTATAGATAGACTGGATATATCCACACTACTACCTTCTCTAGTCATATCAAACAAAGCTCGGCACATCAGTAGTAGGGAACGTTTTTTTGGTATTATACGATTTGATTCTTGGGGTCACAATTCAAACTTGATTCCCAGTTACCAAGTAAAGTATTTTACTCCAGTCTACTGTGCAAACAAACGCTAACTTAAGACAAAAGGTGACATTTATTTATGCTAAACTTTACTCAAAAGATTTTTGATATTGTTCATCCCTCAGTGACCTCAACGATATAGGATTCAAGTTATACATACAAAGGTTTCCAAATTAAATGGTAAACAAGACCACAATTACTTCTTTAAGAGACTGAGCACAGTAGTGTTTTAAGCTTGAGACCAGCATGCTAACTCGCTCACTATGGCAAGGCTAACGTTGATTTTTAAAGATAAAATGTTTAGCATTGAACATCTTTAACGTTGCTAATTAGCACTAAACACAAAGTACAGCTGTGGCCGATGGAAATAACATCAGGTTTGTACTTGGTCATAAATTAAAGTTAAACAATGAAATGTAAGTGATACTAGGGGAAAAGTCAGGGGATATATCCTCTGGGGACCATGAATGTCTGGACAAGTTTACCAATTAGATTTAAAAAAAACTTGTAATAATATATTTTATCCATATTGTTTTTGAAACATTACCAGCTGTGACGCTCTGTGGTGCCCTCTGTTGGTGGGGTGGTGGTAGAAGGTGAGCAGCCACAGGGGGGGTCCGCAGTCCGCAGGCTGCGATGTGGCCAGCAGCTGGACGGCCACCTGCACCCAGTGGGCACACTGGATCAGCAGGAACCAGGCCTCAAACACCCTGAGGTGCCCCCTAGAGAACAGACCAACACACACAGAGAGCTGCCTTTATCCGTACGCTGGGCATCATGGGAGCTGAAGGACTTTCTGCAAGCAGCACTGTCTGACTGTCTGAGCAATTACTATAAGAGTAGTATAGAGTAAGCAGAAGATCGTCGTAAAATGGAGAGACTGTGAGACTGCAGCTAGACCCTTCCCTTTGTCTGTTCTGCATGCAGCATGAATATTATACTATTAAAGAAATAACTGAATAATTTAAAGTAAAAATCAGCTATTACCTTGAGCATAATAAATATATTTGACCTACTAGCATGGCAGCAATCTTGATTAAATGAGTCAGCAAGTCCACATACTACGAGACAGAGCTCAAAACTTTGAACAAAAACCACAAAAGGACCTTTAAATACAACATTTGGTCAAATATATTATTTTTTTTCTATTTCAGTTTGTAATGGTGGGTTATAAACGAAGCATTCTACTGGAACTTCCTGGGTAATTTAGCTTGCAGTGCTATAAATAGGTTTTAATATCTATAAACTAAGGTGATTTGGGTGGTTTTCACAGGAAGCGCCAGTGTACAACCAAATTGTTCTCCAAACATTAAAAACGACTTGGAAAAAAAGGAGAGAAAGGGGGGATATTAAAATACATGTTAACAAATTGCCAATGGAACCAAGTAAAGTTGTTCAGCAAAGTTTTAATGAAATAATTTGCTGTTGAACCCTCCCAGCCCTATAATAACAGAGTGGGGTCATTTACATGATAAGAGCTTTTCTAATGAGCCACAACTAGAGTGGCTCTCAGTAATATTAATTCTCCCACTGACGGGGACAATGGATGATCAAAGAGACACGACGCTTTATACGGATCTGATTCAAAATTAGATACTGAATCTCATTATTTCTTCTCATTTATAATACTTCACTCTCTTTTCTGGTAGTCCCGTCGGAAACAAGTGGGACCACAGAAAATTGGATCGCAAAAGTGAGAATGCGACTAGTTTAGGGTTGTTCTTTTTTTACTTTTTAAGCTCTGACTTAAGTCATACGTCCCGTGGGTCTCTCTTTTGCCTTTAGTTGAGCCAAAGCAGATTCCAACAGCTGCAACAAGAGACTATAACTTGGAGCTAGAAGAGAGATAAGAATGTCTCTTTCTCAAATGTCCATAATACCGTCGTTATGCCTCTCTTCCTCATCCTCCTCTTCCCCCACAGCTCCCCTCTGCAGAGCCCTGGCAGCTGCATTGGTCACTGTGAGCAACACAACATGCTTCTTCTCCAACGCTGGCTCAGAACAATGTTTTGGGAGTTTAGCTCGGAGCTCCAGAAAGAGCAGCGGTGGGAATAATGGGCCCCGTTAAAAACCGCAGCTGAAGGGTGTCAAGTCAGCCCTCTGCTTTCTGCTTTTTATGAGTATCCTCTGTCCTCTTTTTCTCACTCTCTGCTTTTCTATACCTCATAATAACGTGGCATGTTTTCCTCCTTTGGTTCTTCGTCTACATTCCTTTTCCGGCTCTTATTGGGGTTTTTTAACACCGGATTTCTCAACAGCTCTCTCATTCCCAAGCTCATAGCCTTTCATACTCGGTTTGAGAAGCCACACACTGCACCCGGAAGGACCTCTGACTAAACATCCCCTCAACAGAAGCTCATGGAAATAAGAAACAAGGGAGACACACATGAACATATTCTCACTCTAACCTGGTGCTTCTGCTTCCGGCTCCCTCCTCTTCCTCCTCGGTCAGTCTCTGTAAGGAGCAGCTGAGCCAGTTCAGGTGATGTCGCCAAGCCTCCTGAGGCATCTCTGCAAGAACAGATTCAGTTATACAAAATATTAAGTTGCAGCACATAGAAGCACCAAGACAATCTAGGTGTGCACAACATTCAAAGCCAGCTATCTGGTCATTGTGAAATAAATAGTTCAACATTATGGAAAATACATTTATTTGCTTCCTTTCTACTGTATATAAAAAGATGCCACTCTCATATTGGGACAGTAAATATAAAGCTATAATATGTCATATGTTTAATCTTTACAAAAACTCAAGGGTAAAAGTAAAAACAGGATTTGGTTTAATGGTGGGTAATGTAAGGGACTATTTCTTGCCAATGCATACAAAACTTCTTAGCTGTTGCCTGGCAACTTCAAAGTGGGGACAAGAATCCTTACCACAATTGAGTTTATTTTCACTATTGATGAATTTGTCATTTTCTTTATTCATTGTTTGGTATATAAAATGTCAGAAGAATAGTACAAATGCAGACACAAGCCTCAGAGAATCCAGTTATATATTTTTGTGTCCACTTAATAGTAAAACAAAACAAAAGATATGTTCTTTACAATCATATTAAACCAGCAAATATTCACATGGTAGCTGGAACCAGAAATGTTTTTGTAATTTGAAAAAGGTTTTTTTCAGCGCTATTTTACATTTGGGTTTTGTTTGTATTAAACAAATGAGCTGATGAGTGAGCTATGTGCTAGTGGCAGATTGAGTTGACTTTTCACAGAGACAAACTAGCTGTTTTCTCCTGTTCCCAGGCTTAGTGCAGAGCTAAGCTAAGCAGCTGCTGGCAGTAGCATCTTATTGGTGTACCGACATAAGTGTGGCTTCATTCTTCCAATATAACCCTCAGCAAGAGAGCCAATCAGCTAATTTCCCAGAAGATCTAACTATTCTTATGTTACAATGCAGAATGCTTCCAAATGCAAGACACATTTAGAAAGTGAAGTTAGAGGGTACCACAAGTTACAACTTCCCAAACATCAGGCCCAAGTATTTTCCAAGCAGAACTGAACTACTTGACGTTCCTGTTTTCCAGCTATTATTTCTTTAGTGCTTAAAGGATCAGATTGTTTTTTTGTCACAAGCCACATTGTTCTTTGGAAAATAACTCCCCTACCACAAACCCAATGTTGTACCAAAGCCCTGCAGTATGGCTGACACACACTTTACAGAATACTTTAACACTGCCATGTCTTCATCTATAACTTTTTACAGAGGAAGCACAAATCATGATAAAACTCAAAATGTCTACTTTTCATAGTACCGTTTAGGTTAAAGTAAAACACACACACACACACACACACACACACACACACACACACACACACACACACACACACACACACACACACACACACACACACACACACACACAGTAATAATTAACTCTGAGTTCTGGCTGTGCTCCAGTGTGTCCCTAAATGGCTTCATGTAAATCATTCCTGCCTACAGGCCAGCCTGGGCACACACTGATAAGCGCTGCTCCCCTGTGCGCCTACACTCACCTACTAGGCGTCCATTAACAGTAAATGTTCCCATAGATAAACACTGGTGTTACATTTTCATTTTAGATCAAATGTATTCATCTTAATAAAGAATAATAATAAGATGCATTATTGTGTATTGTGTTAGAAAATGTATGATTTTAGTTATAGAAGTCAAATGTAGCTTGTACAAAACAGGCAACTCAATACACTTCTGTATTTATTTAATATGATAACCAACACTGCGTATAACTACTGTTCCACATCATGTCTTATAACTTTTGTGTGAGTGTGGTTAACTAACTGTAATTGATTCACACACAAGAGCCCATTCACTCTGCAGCAGGAAAACTCTGTTGACCCACAGATAAATAATACCTGATAGACTTTCTTCTATCAATACAGGGTTTTGTGCATTGTGTAAGAGTTAAATATCCAGATACCTACACACACAGCCACACACGCATATATGGATGAGTGTGTGTGTAGACTGACCTGACGGCCGGGTCCAAAGAGGAATCAGCAGACTCTGAGGTGACTGTGGGAACGAGGCCTTCAAAGAACCACTCGTCTGAACAAACACAAAGCACACATTTTCCTGAGCTTCATAAATGTAAATCATTTTTACCTTGAACACATACACCAGTGCTCTGAAAGCCTGAGAAATGACATTTTGAATGGTAGTCTGTGTAACAGTGATACAGTAGGTGCTAATGTGTAATGTAGCGTGTAATAGGGAGCGTTTAGTGCAGTGTGACTTCAGCCATTAACTTCAAATCCACTGCGTATACACTGTAGCACTGCCATCTGCTGGTTTATAGAGGTGAAAAGGAGATCAACTATATCCACAGAACTGTTAATTAGTTAGCACATCACACCTACGTTGTAACACATGTGTTTTCCGTCCTATTGACAGTAATGACTGACATGTCAGAGCCTGATAATTCCCCACAGGCACACAGGATGTGTGGATGGAGGTTCCCTGCACAGACTCATGTGTATGTGAGAGAATCTGTGGTGCCTGAGAGTTGAAATGTACGTAGTGACACATTAGTGCTACAGCTCACAGTGGTTTCCACATGTCACAGGTGTTTTATCTGTGCAAAGTTAATACCCCCAAATTGATGCTCCAAAAGCTATTTTTATTTATTATCATCAAGACAGATGTGTGAACTGTGGTGTTTGTGTAGTGTGAGTAGCGAGCTGCCAGCTGGAGATGAAGTGATAATGATGTGGAAGATTTATCAAATGTTAAGTGATTTTGCCTGCATGGGGTGTTCCATGTTTATAGCATAGTAGTGTTTTTGTACTCCCAGTTAAGATGGTAAATACGAATAAATAGACAGCTTTGTAAAGTTGAAAGTTTGCTACATGACCTGCAGTAGCATTAAATGCGGCATTTTTATTAAAACAATGTCTGCTCTTGTAACCACAGTTGGCTTCATGATTTTGGATTTCAATCTAATTGTTAAATGGAAATTGTCCAAATAAATATTTAAGTCTGACTTTCACATATTTTGCAGGAAACTTGAGGAATACCTTATGCTGCAGCAGAGCCAGTTCCCTGAAGAAACAGCTGGAAAAGCTTTGGATGAGATACTTGACGGACTCATTCCCTTCAGCTTGCTTAAGGAAGGATCTGTCGGACACACACGCCATTATTGGGAATGCCACTGCAGTACGTCAACAAACATTCAGAAATACACACTTATCAGGGTAGGAACATGACACTAAAAGCCTTTAACACTTAGCACACATAGCCTCAAAATGACACACCAACTCTCACCTGAAGATGTCGTTCACAACCAGAAATATGGAGCAGTGTTGAGCACAGGCTTTAGGCTGAAACACACAAAAAACTCAATTTAAAAATGTTGTAGAATTTGCTGCAATTTTCTTTTTGTTGTTTCAAAGATATTTAAATGTTATGTTGACAGTAAAAAGAAGTTGATTATAACCACATTATAATCTATTTCACTAATCCATTCTATTAATTTAAAGGTCCCATATCCTGCGTCCCCTTGTGTGTTATGTAGCTTTTTATTAGGGATGCACCGAATATTCGGCCGCCGAAAATTATCGGCCGAAAAAGGTTAAAAAGGCCCTTTCGGCTTTCGGCCGAAAGGGTTCTAGCACCGAAAAAATATCACCGAATGTCAGGGAACAGGGTTACGTTGGTAAGCTAACGTGTTGTTGTGATGACGTAATCAAAACGCGGCGACAAGCACGGCGCGCGACCATGCTCGCGGCTGGCTACGTCATCACAACAACACGTTAGCTTACCAACGTAACCCTGTTCCCTGACNTGTGTGTGTGTGTGTGTGTGTGTGTGTGTGTGTGTGTGTGTGTGTGATGTTGGCTGTTTACTTTCTGTTCCGTGATGGAACTATTTGTTTACCCTCTCATCCATCTCTGATCCACCTCTGTTTTTATCACCTTGCTAGTTCACACGCACATGTGTGCATGCATGCGAGCCCTGACACACATATAAACATAAACTCACATGCCTCCGGCCGCCATGCTCTGTTTATGATATTGCATCTGGTATAGCGTGTCAGGCGTTAAGAGGGTGGGAGGCATACGTTTAGGTTTCACTTAGCCTTCAGGTTGTTTGGATGTCACACACAGGCCTGTCCGTCTCTGTTGGTGTGCATGTGTGCAAGACCCACACAAAAATTGAGAGGCGTACCAGCTGACTGCCTTGTGTCTCCTCTCTTCTCCCTTTCACTCACTTGTTTAAACTGCAATCAAAAATGGGAAACATGAAATTAAGCTCACATTCCTCATTTTGGCCAGTCCCACCGCTCTGTGATCTAATGAGAGACACAAACCCAATAACAATAAACACTCACATCCTGGGCCTTCCTGCCAACGAAAAAAGATGTTTGTTGTGTGTTGTAATTGACCCCCCTTGAAATATTAGTGGTAAGTTATGGAGGAGGATGCTCAGAAAACCCATCTGTTTTCAGAAGGGGCAACTATGGCAGTCTGCACACACGCATGCATGCTGGCATGAAAGCCACATACGCAGGATCACACTGACACACATAAAACGCAGGCCAACGTATTGCGGATTCCAAACTAAACAGTAACATGCACGACACGTTTTTTTTAATTTGATGCTGTGCAAAGACAAAAGAGAAACAGACATGGCACAATTGAGGATGAAAGCACTTGATTAGTGTTGGATTATTGTAATGACGCCATATAAACACTGGGTGGGGCTGTTCGTAATGATTGACCTCACTTAGTCTCCAGTTGGTCTGTTACCCTGGCCCTTTTCATTACATTTGGAGGTACATGTGTGCCTTGACAGGAGGAGGAAACAAATCTTAAACGCCTCTTTACAGAAACGGGTTTTAGGTTCATTTTCGGCTTTGATGTACTGAATGCTTTTTAATAGTGGGCAACTGTGGCTGTGGTGATCTTTCAACCAGAAGGTTGTTGGTTCGATCCAAGCCAATGCAGTCAATATGTCGATGTGTCCTTGGGCAAGCTACTTAACCATGAGTTGTTCCCATAGAGGTTGTTCCCAATGGCATGGCCAACTGTGTATGAATGCGAGTGAATGTTAGCTTCCTAGAGCAAGTGGCACTGCTGTGTGTGAATGAGGTGTGAAAGGGTGAATGGTGACTCGTAAAGACTGGATAAAGCACTATACTGTATAAGTAAATCCATTTGAGTACAGTCCATTTACCATTTAATAGACGCTTTACTCCATTATTAACTGATGACACAGATGGCAGGTTTAAATTGTGCTGTATGTGATTCAAACAAATAGAAAACATACACATGTATGATTGTGGTGCTGTTTAACTATATATGCTGCTCTTATGATGAAGAATATATCCTTATAGGAGTGTTCAGGGAGAAAGTGAGACTAATTGGGGACTACAACATATACTGTATAAGCGTGTAGAGAGAGGCTGACGTGGAGAGTACAGCTATTAAATGTTTGCACTGGGGCGTTTTAGAATGTGTTAAATCTAAAACACATGATGAATCTGCATTAGGCAGAGATGACAGAGTAAGTGTGTGGGTGTGTGGAGGAAGAACTGAGTGGTTAATGAGGAGAGAGTGAGAACAAGGGGGGACAGTGGCTCAATGGGGGTGTATAGATGATGCAACAGTGACATCCAGTGGTCATATATTGTAAGTTAATATTGCAATTTGGTTAAAGGTCCCATGTCATGGCAACTTCTACTGATCATAATTCCATTGTTGAGGTCTACTAGAATATATTTATATTGTGCAATGTTCCAAACTCACATTGGTTTCTCATACAGCATCTCTGTATAGTATGTGTATTCACTCTCTGTCTTAAACGGCTTGTTGGAGCTCCTGCTGTGAGCCCACTGTGCTCTGATTGGTCAGCTCGCCCACTCTGTTCTGATGAGTCCACCACCGTTACAGCGGAACATCAGTGTTTATGTGTTACAATGGCGTTTGTTAGCATCCAGAAAATGACACCAGTAAGGACAAACAGATGAGAATGCTGCGTGGGGTCTGGGTGCAGTGTTGGCGGGACGTTGCGAGGCTCGCTGCTGCGAGGAGCAGACAGTGTTAGCTGGCTTACTGGTGTGGTTTGCGGGTCGGCGAGACAGCGAGACACAACGAAACCCAGCCCGAGCACACACACACACACACACACACACACACACACACACACACACACACACACACACACACACACACACACACACACACACACACACACACAGCCTGGCTGTGAGTCTGTGGGTGTGCTTACACACAGATTCACAGCCTCGCTGTGTCCCGCCATCTCAGGCTGAGAAATTTGCGGAGGTGCAGCTGAGAAAAGATTGAGTGTGTGTGTGTGTGTGAGGAAGTTAAGGACGTAACGTAACGGCTCCGCGGATTGGTCCATTTGGTCCATGGGGTACTCGTTACGTCACAAGGTTCCCGGAAGAAAACAAATGGAAAAAGACAAATCTCCAACGAGGCGTTCTGGGGCAGCATAGACAGGTATTTTCTGTGTTAGAGTTTTACTCGCTACAGGGTGTACTTTGAGGGTTTGTGACTCTCCAGACCGTTTACATGCATAAAAA